ATCCTGGTACCCAGGAGTCTTTCCTGAGCCTGAGCCAATTTCTCTCCTGAGGCTCCATCCCCTTTTATAAACCGGAGCCCAGGCAGGCAGTGCTCACAGTATTTCACTTTAATAATATTGGAACCTGGTCCAGTCAGGGCCACAACAGTGAGGGGCGGGAGCTTGTGATGCCGATTAGCAGCGCCGTAAGTCTTTTGCTTTATCCAAATCTTGGGCAGTAATTTAGGAAATTTAATTAAAGGGGGAGAAAGGGGGACACCTGAAGCTCCTTGCCTCTGTTATAATGAGTGAAATACACCGGGCTGTAAAAGGAAATGCTGTCTGAGACGCAGCTCCGATGTTTTATTGCCAAGTTTTATTCGCTGATGTAAACGTAATCGCTGGAAACCGGAGCTCTATTAACGCACATATTTTCACACATCCGGGGCCCCGCCTGCCCCCCACCTCTTCCTCAAGGTTTGTTCACCCACCTCCTGGGGTCAGGCCTGGGGCTTTCTGGGCATGTCTATGCCAAGTCTGGATTTCCCCGCCGGTTTCATACCCAACCATGGCAGATAAGAGTTTAATAGAATTCCATTGCTCCTCTGAGCTCAGTAATGCATTCTGGAAATTAGGCGACTACATACTGAAGCCATTGTTCCCCCTTATAAATGGGCTCCCTCCAAGCCAGTGACCGTGGGGTCTCTGATAAGCTCTCGTGAAGCCGCGCTCCACATGTTATTGGTGTGTTAAAAGGCGCAACTCCGGGCTCACATTGCTTATTGTTAGGGGCTGATACATTTAAGTAGTTTCTCCATGAATCAGGCAGCTTAGGTATTTCCCCCCTCTTGGCATTGATAGATGAGAGAAAGGAAGCCATTTAGACGGCGCTATATAGGGCCCTGGCCCACACGGTGAATGATTTCCAATGCCTGGTTTAATTTATTTTTAAATGAAATTTGTTATTGATTCTGGATTAAAAGGACAAATCTTACGGCTGTTACCACTGACAGAGCCATGGTGCTCAAGTGACACCTCTCCAGGAGGGGAGGGAGGGTGGCCTCCCTGAGTCAAGGGGAGGGTGGAGGCTCTCCAGGGAGCTCAGGTCAGAGGCCTGAGGCAGTGCAAGATGTCCCACTTTGAGCGGGGGGAGCCTTAAAAAGATTTTCTTTCCCACTCGCAAGACCTGACGTGATGCTCGCCTTCTGAGTCTCACTTGGGTAATGGGAATAGCAGTGATATTTGCCTCATGGCATCCACGTGACCACTGGATGCTTGTTTAATTGCCTTCAGGGATGGGAAGTTTACTCTCTCCTGGAGCATTCCCAGAGTGGAATGACAAGAGTCACCCACCCTAGTGAATTCCTAGAGACTATTTTCTGGGATAGTCTTCAGTTGCCCCCTGCCCCCACCAGGCTTTTAGCTTCCACAGTGCCTGTGCCTGAAGTTTCCACTGGATCCATGAAGCAGAAAAGACAAATACACAGGGGAGGAATATGGGCTGGGGATTCTTCCTTTCACATCCAGCTTCTGCCCGACTCCCTGTGCAACCTTGTGCCTGTTACTTCATGTCTCTGAGCTTCAATTTCCTTATCTATAAAAGAAGGAAGGTGGGGCATCTGGGTGGCTCAGTCGGTTAAGCGTCCAACTTTGGCTCAGGTCATGATCTCACAGTTCGTGGGTTCGAGCCCCGCGTCGGGCTCTGTGCCGACAGCCAGCTCGGAGCCCAGAGCCTGCTTCGGATTCTGTATCTCCCTCTCTCTCTGACCCTCCCCTGCTCACGCTGCCTCTCTCTCTCTCCCTCAGAAATAAATAAAACATTAAGAAAAATGAAGGAAGATAATAATATTGGCCTCAGGGTTTGTTGCACAAATTATATGACATCATGGATGTGAATGTGATTTGTAAAGAGCAATTTAGGTGCTGTAGGAAATACAAACAGGACAGTAAAGTGGGGGAGGGGGACCCTGAGCTGAGAGACAGAGGACCTGGATCTGGTTCTGTCATGGTTGGCTGTGTGACTCTGAAGGAGTCACTTACCCTCTCTGGGCCTTAGTTTCCTAAGTTGCAAGGAGGATGGTTGACCTAGATGTGCTTAGGTATTGTGTCTAAGAGCATGGGCTCTAGAATCAAATATATCATGTTTCTACAACTGCCTTGCTGTGTGACATTGGACAAGATACTTAACCTCTCTGAGCATCTATTTTTGTCTGTAAATAATAATATCAATAGATGATAATAATAGTAGCCAACATGTATCATGTATTTACTATGTGCCAGGCACTATTCTAAGGACTTTCCATGTATGTTTTTCATTTAGCCCTCCCAATAATCTTGTGATGGTGATATTATAATCTTTATTTTACAGATGAGGAAGTTCAGGCACAGAAAGGCTAAGTAACTTGTCTAAGGTCACTGGCTAGCAAGTGGCAGGATTCAAAGCTACTCTCCATACTTACAACGACACTCTCCTACTTTATGTGGCCTGGTTGTTCTGAGGATTAAGTGGGATAATTAAAGTGGGTACACAGTGATGGGCCAACCAAGGCTTGGGGACTGGGAAAAGTCATTCCTTCCTGTGGGATACTGGACCTTGGTCAATGGGGGCACTCAGCTAGACAGAGGGGAAGGCAAGCAAGAGGAGGGGGAAGCACCGGGAAAAGAAAGAATGTGACAAAGTTCAGGCATGTTCAGGGAGAGAACATGGTGGAAATGGTACTTGGACAGAAGGTATGTGCAGGAGGGGAAGCTGGGACCGAGTGCAAACAAGACAAGCTGGGATTTCTGTAATGAACAAGGCCATTGGAAGAATTTTGGGCAGCGCCTTCACAGCATAAGCCTTTTCAAGGTCGTACAATCCCTGGAGGTCTGCCCTTGAAGGAGACTTAGAGGCCACTGTGTTTAACCCTGCTGCAGACTGGGAGGAGAAATCCTTCCTGAAGGTCAGGCAGTGGGTTAGTGGCAGAAGAGTGCTGTCCCACCCTGACCTCTTTCCTTTGCAGCCCCCAAGTGGAGTCTCTTGTTTTCTCTCTTCTAATCTGCTCACCCCCCGACCCCTTGCATGTGCCCCGCTGCCTGCAATCTGTGGGTTAAGGGGAGAAAGCCCTGGTTTGAGCCCCAGTTCTACCACCACGTTGTCTTAGAGAGGCCTCGGGCCGGAACTGAGAGTCTGGGTTTTGGTCTTGGTGCTGCTGTGTGATCTCAAACAATCTGTTTCTTCATCTTTCTAAGAGGGGGCAATGGAGCCCATTTCATGGGAAGTGAGGCTCAAGTTAATGAATGAGAAAACGCTTTTGTAGAGTCCAAGATGCCTGGCCATCCCAGATAGCCTAAGTACCATCTCTGTGTGGGAAGGAAGTGAAAAGAAGTGAGTTAATCAGGCAAAACCAACCCCTTCTTCTAGTCAATGTGGGCGGAAAGGAGTTGGGACGAGGGCGGGGATCTGTCCGCGGTGCTGAAGGCAGCGTCCCGCGGGCGCTGTCAAGTTGTGCTGAAACACCGCATTTGTAATTGGGGGTTTCGGGGGACTGTCCATAGTTTTGAATGAACTGGATTCTTGCTAGTGACCACAGGCCCCATCCACAGGCCCCACCATAATATTGGGAAGAGGAATGCAAGGGCAGAATAAAGATGGGTGGGGAGCTGTCACTCGAGCTCTACTCTCATTCTCAAACTTGGGGCTCTGTCCACAATTCTGGACCACCTGTAGTCTGTGGAAAGGGGAGTGGGCTTTCTGCAGTGCTCACTCCCATTCGGAGGAACAGGAGCGGAAGCCGGAAGGCCTGTCTACGATGCTGAATCCTCGAATCTAAGAGCCCGCCCAGCTAGGTCCTTGAGGCCAAAAAAGATGGGGTCGGGGCTGACGCTGTCCGTCTCCGTGGTGCTGAAACCCTGGCGGACAGGGCCGTGTCGGGCACAAGGCTTGGGGAAGGACAAGGGGTGAGAGCAGGAAGGGACCCTGCCCTGGTATCAGGGGCCTTGCCTCAGACTCTCTGTGAGACCTCGGAGAAGCTATGCCTCTGATTGCATGTGCTTCCTCGTCTTTTAAATGAGGCCACGGTCTGCTCCCGTGTCTGTACTGAAGGTCTGTCCCAACAGCCCCAGTATACCAGGCAGGGAAGGAGGCGGAGGATCTCCTTGGATCCCTGGTCTTGGGAATGGGAGTGGCTCTGTTACCTGCCCGCCCCTCCAACATTCCATCTAGGCCCATCGGTCGGAGGAAGGGAGACTTACAGTCCAGAAGGGGGCGATCCAATCTACCGCGAAGGGCCCAGCATCTTTAAACTAGGAGCCCCCCCCCCTCCCCCGGAACTGGCTTGCCTCACTCCCATTAGGCAGACAGGAAAACTGAGACACAGAGAGAGTAACAATAGTAATAAATATTCATATCCTACCATGAGAACGGCATTATGCCAAGCGCTTTAACGTTCACGATTTCATAAACCCTCACCACCGACCCCTGGAGGTAGCTACTCTTCCCATTTCTCAGATGAAAACTTTGAGGCTCAGACAGGGATAGACATCCGGACATGATCACACAGGGAGCTAAAGGTTGCGGCGGGGCTATCACCAGGTCCCCTGTGCCTCAGCCCGGGTTCCTGCCCTACCTTACCCTCACCTTCACCCCCACCGCCACAGACCCCCTGACCCTGGCACCACCTTGCTAGCAAAGTTGGGAGTCCTCGGAGCGCGCTGGGTTTGGCGGCAGGTGGAATGGCTTTTCTCCTTATCCGGCTGGATAGTATTTCCGTTTTTGAAGCCAGTTGTGTTATGCTTTGCGGGAGCTGGGTCCCTTGGGTGGATTCCTCCACTCCACCCCGCCGCCCATTTGCACACTCGGGTGGGGGACGCTGCGGGTACCGCTTTAAAAATCCCAGCCTGGGCAAAACTTTGATGATAAATCAAGCGGCAGATCCCTCCGCCGCCGCCTCCTCTGGGCGGGCGGGAGGGAGTGGGAGGGAGGGGGTGCGGCGGCGGCGGCGGCGGCGCCGAGCGGAGTGGCCTTCCGCGGAAGGGAAGAGTCCCGCAGTCGGAGGCGGCCGGCTGGGCGTGCGCTCGCTACCCGCAGCCGGGGCTGGACCGGAGCCGTGCGAAGGCTGGGGCCGGGGCCAGGCCAGCTTCGGCAGGCGAGAGGCGGCGGCCGGAGCTGGGCAGCCAGGCCGCATCGGGCAGGGAACGGCGGGCTCGGGGTCTGCGGTCTCCTGAGCCCCGATGTGAGGCGGCGGCGCCCCGGCCCGAGCGCGCAGCATGGGGGCCCCGCTCGCCGTGGCGCTGGGCGCCCTCCACTACCTGGCACTTTTCCTGCAACTCGGAGGCGCCACGCGGCCCGCCGGCCACGCGCCCTGGGATAACCACGTCTCCGGCCACGGTGAGTTCGGTCGCCGCCCCCGCGGACTTCCCCACCAAACCCCACCCCGGGCTGCGCCGCTCCAACTTGGCCGTGCCCGGCTGGAGCCCGCGCCTGGCGGGAGTCCCGTGGCGCCCCCTGCCGGGCCCATGGACCCGCCCTGGCACCCCGGCCGCCCCTGCAGAGGAGGGGGCACCCCGCGTGCAACCCCGATCCCGCTGTAGCGGAGAGCCCCCTACTCCCCAGCACGCTCGCGCCGATACACACCCCCTCCCCCCAGGACCACACATATTCACAGCCAGGGGCACACTCACTGTTCCCACACTCACAACTCCAGCCCTCACACATCTCCAGACGCCTGCTCAGATCCCCCTCCTCACTCATAAACACTCACACTTATGCCCGCTGCACACACACACCGGCACCACGGTTGGTGGGCTCACACCCGGCCAGCTGGCACCCAGGCGCACACACTCTGCACAACTCTTGCCTGCCCTTCTGCCTGCAGACACACACACACTTGTGAACACACTTTGCTCGCCCACTCCTCTCTGCCCATCTGCCTTTCCCTTTTGTAGGTTTAACCCTGTGGCTGTCCTCATCCCCTCCTACTCCTCAACGGCCCCTTATATCACTGGGAAAGGTCCTGGGGACAGAAGACCCTGCCTCTTGAGAACTGGCAGACCACAGCGGCAGCTGCCCCTGCGCGGCCAGTGACGGGGGCTTGCTGGGAGCCCCTCAAACACATTGGAATAGTTGGGATTGCTCCTTCCAGCCACAGGCGTGAAGGGGGAGGAGGATGCTAGGTGCTTTTGTCTTGTCTCTGGGGGGGGGGGGGGCAGGAAAGCCCCTGCCATCCTTCTGGAGGGTACCCACCCATTCTCAGCCTCCGCCCTGACCATTGAAAGGTGGGAAATCAACTCCGCCACCATGGGAGCTGGGGAGCGAGGAAGCAAGCCCACGCTGGTTGCCTGAGTATCGGAAGCTCCTTTTAGCCCCACAGGAGCCCAAGTTGGCAGCCGAGTTGTACCATCGGAGGCCGGTAGCTGTGGGGGTTCCCCCCATCCCTATGAGCCAGGCTCCAGAATGGGGACCAGAACGTAAATGAAAATGGAGACCCTTGTTCCATCCATCCCTTCCCAGGCTGGCGGGGGAGGCTGCAGCACCGGTGCTGGGCACTGTATCCCCGGGGCCGGGGGGAGGTCTGCACAAAGAGCAGAGAACTGTGTGATTTATTCTGAAGGAAGGAGTGAGGTGGGGGGAGTAGGTAATCAGAGGAGGCTTTGCTGGGGCCTGATACACGAGTGAGATTGTTCCAAGGGGCAAGGGCGCTTCCAAAGCCCTTTTCAGGGGTCTCCGCTTTGGGGGAACCATGATTCCCACACCCGTCTGCCTTACCACATTTGATATAACTGCTCTGTGTATCATCTGTGCACCCTTCATATCCTTCGTCGAATTTCTACTGACCCGGCTGGAGCGCTGGTAAACAGGGGGAAGGATTATTTTGATCCTCAACTTACAGATGGAGAAACCAAGGCTCAGAGAGGTGAAGGGACTTGCCCAAGGTCACACGGTGAGTGAGTGGTTGAGCCAGGACTGGCCACAGGGTCTGTTGGGCAAAGACAGAGCTTTTTCCAGGACATTCATCTCCCTGTCAGATTCCCTCCCATTTAAAGGAAACTGGGAATTCCTCCTTCCGCTCCCCTCCGCGCAGCGCTCAGATCCTCGGCACAGTTAGAACTTATGTTCGGAGGGTTTTCCGAGGAAGGGTTTTCCTGAATTTGCAGTCCTGAAAGGTACGAGGATCGGGGCCCTGAGGTTTATGGTCGTCCTGTCCCTGGAGCATCAGACCTCAAGGATTTGGGTGCTCCTGTGTCATTCCTGAGGTCCAAGGGTTTGCCCTTTGTGTGGCAGTCTCTGCCTGCCCCCTGGTGCCGGGCGTGCTCTGGGCCACAACTCGGCCGCACCAGCTGGAATGTCGCCTCTGAACCCTGGGCAGGTCCCACTAAGGTCCGGAGGAGGGACTAGACAGAAAGGACACAGCACTGACTGCTGGGGGCCCTGGCTTCTCTCACTGACCCCCTGTGCAGTTCTGGGCAAGTGGGTCAGCCCTCTGGGGCTCCTTCTGTCCCTCAAGAAATGAGGAAGCCAGGCTGCTCTGCAGGGGCCAGACCGCCTTCTCTCAACGTTGCCAGGTTTAAAGTCAGCAAGTAGTGGATGTTCAGGAGCCCCCACGGCTGCCCCTCTGCCGGGCCAAGCGCCTGCCACCACAGGAAGGGTTTGGAGCCACTCACTTAATCACAAAAAGAAACTGTTATTAATGATAGTGAGACGCGGCGAATAAGTGGGTCATGTCTAATAAGCCATTTGTGTTCAGGAGGAGAATACCAATTTGATAAAAGCTGTGTGTGCTGAAAAAGCCCAGAAATTGCTGTTTAGCAGATTGGAGCCTGATCGTTTCATTATTCCTGGGCTCCGCATGTCCTCAGCTGATTCAGGCAATGTGGCCGGGTTAGGGGGGTGTCTCTGTGTCTGGGCGTGGGGATGGAGGCCCCTCCTCCTGAGGGGCCCACGGCCCCCAACCCCTTGGTGGTTGCTCACCTCTCCAGCTCAACCTGAGCCCAGCCCAGCCGCCAGGCAAACACCTTCCGCCCCGGCCACCCGCGACTTGTCACAGGGAGAGCCCATGGTCAGATGGGTCCACAAGGACATTTGTCTCACTTCCCATCTCCCTGCTACCTCCCTCCACTCAGCCCACTTCACAGAGGGCCTTTTAAAGGCATGAGGATTGAATGGGGAGTGAATGGAGTGTGCCTTTTAGGGAAGCACAAGGGATCGAGAGGCTGGGGTGGTGGTGGTCAGTGTTTGCACCTAGTAGGTATTCAGTTAATGGCAGCTATGTTGACTTTTCCTCATCAAAGCAGGTTAGCTCATTGCCATAAGCACAGCAGAGGTGAGGGGTGGGTGTGGGTAGAGGAGCTGGCATTTATGAACTGCCTACTATGTGCTAGGTACAGCCAAACCCCTTGCCAGTGTTAACTCACTAAGGCTGACATTCTTCATGCAAGGCTGGCGTTGGAGAGATGAGGATACTGAGGTTCTGAGAGGGCCAGTGACTTGCCCAAGGTCACTGAGCCTATATAGAGAGCTGAAGAGCTGTGCCTGCCTCCTCCGGGGACAGCCTTGAGGCAGGCTCAGCCAGTCACGTGACAGGTCGTCTTCTGTACAGCCTTGGCCGAGCCTTCCAGCTCCCCAGAAAACTGGCAGTGGTTTCCACCCAGAGGAAGGAGCAGCCTAGAAAGGTGACGGGTGGGATCTTGCTGAGGCCACGTGCAAGTTAGAAGACAGCTGGGCTGGACTCTCCAGTCCTTCCCCCAGATCTCGGCCCAGGCAGGGGGCCCGAAGGCAGCATCTCTGTGAGCCTCTGGCAGACCTCCTGCCTTGGAACCACCGCGGGGTGGGGGTGGGGTTGGGGGTGTTAAAATGCAGACCCCAGGGTCCACCCCCCCCCCGGACCCATTGGCCAGAATGATTCTTGAGGAGACCCTGGAGTCTGCATTTTAATAAGTCTGCCCCCCCACCCCCCCAATTCCCGTGCAGCCTGGAGTTTGGGAGCCACTGCCTCAGGTGTTCACCTGAGCATGGGGACAGGCTATGGTCTGGTCCAGGGGCTGCTGGGCTGATTTGGTTTTGCAAGAGAGGGAGAGGGCCGAGCTGGGCCAGGCATGTGGACCCTGAGAGGAGCCCCAGGAAGCCTTACACTGCAGCAAACATCCATTCTCCCACCCCTGCCCTGCCGCACACATACGCACGCGCGCACACACACACACACACACACACACACACACCTAGGCCAGCACCTTCAATTATTAATACAGCCCAATGCAGACACAGATCCTGGCGTGGCCCGGCGCTTTGTCCATCGAGTGATTCACTGTCCTGAGGTTCTCTCTGTGTTGCCAGGAGGGAGCAGCAGGGTGCTGAGGGAGGGGCGGGGACCCCCGGGCCATTTGGCACACAGCCTGTGCACTGGAAAACGACGCTGGCATTCTCTCTCATTCCTTCCTGAACTGTTGGTATCTCCTCCATCACTAAGCTGGCTAGTTTGGTGGCTGGGAGATGGAGAAAATTGAGTGCTGTCTTCCGAAGGTTATGATGTTAAAAATGTGTTCGCATTGTCTCGGGTGTTGGTGATTATTCTATCAATTACGCCCGTAAACACTCGGCCTTGGGCTGAGGGTTCCCGGCCTCCTGTGGGGAATTGGCCCTCACAAGCGGTTTTCCCCGAGTCCTTCATACCAATTGGTTTTGACACCTTGCCTATCAGCCGTTCCAGCGGCCTTTTCCCGAAGCAACGGGAGCCGCGGGCTGCCGACAGGACAGGAATTCGGCTCATCTCCACGGTGACACGGTGACAGCAGAAGTGTTGGGGGAAGTCTCCTTGTGATAAACAAGTGGGCAGGGGCAGGGGTGAGGGAGAGGGGTCAGCCACCAGGACTGGAGATGGAGGGGAGGACCAAGGCCATAGGCAAGGGTGCACTTGCCCAAATTGCCTGGGAGGTTGGTTAGTGCGAGGCTTTTGGGGTTACCTTTTCCAACACTGGACAAATAAAGGGAGAGATACACGGAAGCAAATGTTTACTGAGTGTCATGCCAGGGCCTTAACTGGCATTGTTCCATTTGATCCCCACAAGAACCCTAAGAAGAGGGGACTTTTTCGCTGGCCCCGTATATTTAGGAGGAAACTGAGGCCCAGTGAGGTTAAGAGGACTTGCCTGAGGTCACACAGCCAGCAAGTGTTGGAGCCTGGATTTGAACCCGGGAATGTGACTCTAGACCCTGTGTTCACAAAGCTGTTGAGTTCCAGAGAGGAGGCGTTTTTGAAGTCCAAGGTCTGAAATCTCCAACTTTTGTGTATTCCAAGTTAATGTAGTTTGAAACAATCAATTAATTTTAATCTCATAAGGAATCCATGTCTTTAGTAGAAAAATCACAAAACCGGAGCCCCTCCTCATCCTTAC